TAGATTTTGTCCTCTGATAAATTTTTTTCTCCCTTAGACTTTTTGAAAGCCTGCTTTTCTTCTCTGACCTCTTTCAGAGTCATTCCAATTTCTGTGAGACAAGGAAGAACGCTCTCATTTTGAACTCTTCCTGTTTTTCTTTGGGTAGTCCCTCTTTGTAACAAAAGGCCCTGGTCTGCCTCTTGCTCCAGAGGGTGTGCTCCTTCCCTCGTGTGAGTGTGTCTCTTTCTCTGTGTGTGCTCACTTTATGCATAAATCCTGGGTGAGTTCCCTTCTGGGAAATATGAGTCTTTAAGTCAGTAGACTACCCACCCATCAGCACGTGCTCCGGAGTCAGCAGCCTTTGCTCAGATTGGTGGTCTTCGAACTCCCTCTGGTCAAAATAATAGAGAATTTCCCTGACCCTGATTGGACACATTCCTCGTGATTTTTATCGTGAGGTCCAGCCTAGTGTCGTCTTATGTAGCATCGACTCTCACTGTGACGGTTTGGCAATTGTCGCTTCTCTTCCCTCCTTCTCTCGACCTTAACTACTTTACACTCTCTAGGGTCCGGGAATTAGATGCTAAAATGACTGCATCTTTGTCTTCCTCTGGATACTGTAGGGAGATGAGGTACCAGCTTTAACAAGATGAGACCATCAGATATAATTGGATTGTTCTTAAGCCAATTAAGAGTAAGTGTGTAAGGATAATTAAAGTGGAATTAAACATCATGTGTGTCAACAAACTGAGTGGTGGGTTCATCTGCTGTGTCTTTGTTCCAAAATTATAAAACATATTTTTGCTTAGATGGACATCTTTGAAATAAATCTTCTTTTGACTTTGTTATAAAAGACTGTGTACCTCTCTGAATCTTCTTTTTTCTATGATAGTCTTAAAGATTTTGAAACATACCAAATAGTAATCAACAGGATAAGGCCTACTTTTCACATTGTCCAAAACACGTTTCTAAATTTTACAATTGTCTCATTTCCCCAGTACTCCCTCCCAAAGACATTCTTGGTAAATGACCTCAACTCATATTCATATTGAGAATATTTAGGCCATAAATAAGAATTAAACAAGTTTCTTTCTTACATTTTTCAACATTTCTGTCCCTAGGTTTTGCCTTTGCCGCCGCTGCTGAGAAAAGAAGCTTCTTTCTAATTCTCTTCTTGTGGTCTATTTTTTTTTTCTGTTGTGAAATACTTCAAACATATAGAAAAATACAGATGCTAATAAAGCAGACGTCTATATATCCATCACCTTGACTCAACAAATGTTAGGAGTTTGTCAGATTTGCTTTAGATTTAAAAAAAAATAGATACAACTTTTGTACTTTTTTCTGTTTGTGAGATTGGCTGATAATTTTTTTTTCTTATATTATCCTTCTTTGTCTTTATTTTGGAATAAAGCTTATATTAACTTCATAAAGTGAATTGAAGAGTTTTCTTTATTTACCTATTCACTGGAATACGTATAACATGAAGTGATGGGAGACTTCCTTGATGTGTTAGTAAAATTCATCTTTACAGCTGTTTATAATATGTGCTTTATGTGTATTTAGGGCAGGGGGGTTGCCTATTCATTTTTTAAAAGTTTTTACAAGGTTATTCAAGTTTTCTATTCTAAGTTAAATTTGAAATTTTATAAACTTAAAATAGTTTATCTGTCTTCAAAGATATAGGCTAAAGTCATAGTATTATATTATGCTTTTTAAAAGCTCTTTTTAATTATATCTACTTTGTAAATGTATCCAATATCTCAAATTGTGTGCCTAACTTTCATTCCTATTCCTATTGATTCACGTCATCTCTCACTAGAGGTATACCTATTTTATTAGTGTAATAAAAAGAAAAACAACTTTTTTTGTTGTTGATGGTCTTCATTGTCCTTCTTTTCTATTTCATGAATGTCTACTCTTATTCCTACGATCTTTCCTTCCTTCTTTCTCAAGTTTTTATTCTATAGTTCATTTATAAAAACTTCTTGATTTGTACACTTAATCTTTGAATTTTCAATATTTTTTCCATTCTCTAATATGACAATTTACCTTTAAAACCAGTTGAGCTGCATTTTACAAATTTTGGCATTGTCATTTAGAATCCAGATATTTTGTAATTTCCATTACAATTTTTTTTCTTTAACTTATGAAATACTTAGAAGTGTGCTTTTGAATGTCCAAATATATAATGGGTGTGGGAGAATTGGAGAGTTGCTATGTTTCTGTTATTGATACCTAATTTTATTTCTTTGTTGACAGAGAGATGATGTTTTATATTATTCTTCAGTAATTGTTGAGACTCAGTGCTCAGTTTTTTTTGTGTTTGTTTTTTACTGTTCCTTGAGTACTATCAAAAAATTGCTTTCTCTGAAGGGCTCAGAGCAGTGCCCTATGTTAAATTCATTGGTTCAAGATTGATTATTGAGTTGTTAAAGTCATCTGTATTCTTAAGACAAGTTTTTTGTCTGATATCTCAATTTCTGGTAAAATATGTTAAGCCTTCCCACTAGCATTGTGTAATGCCAATTTTTCTTTTTAATTCTCTCAGTTTTAAATTTTGAATACTATGCTGTTTAAATGGGTTCAGGCTTAAGGCATTATATTTTCCCAGTGAATTATTCCTTTTACACTTAAGGAATGATCTTTCTCATGCCCAAAAAGACTTTTTACCTTTGTCTTATCTGATGTTAATATTGTTGTATTGCTTTTTTTGTTGTTTTGAACGTTTACCTAATACTTTTTAGTTTATCTCCTCATTTTCATCTATTCCATGTGATTTTTATTTTAAGTATATCTCTTGTAAGCAGCATATAATTAGATTGTGTTACTTTTTAAATCTAATATGAAAATCCATTTATATTTATTTTGATTGTGTTGGACTTAATTTTTAAAAATTGTTTCTCCTTTTATACCTTCCATTTGGTTGATTGAGTTTTCCTTCCATGCATTTACTGGGAAGTTATGAGTCTTTTTCATTTCTTCCAATGGCTACCTATAGAGTTTTAACAAAGTAAAGAACTAGTCTGTATCTCTCTTGTTCCCAAACAATGCCAGATTTTAATAGTGCTCTCATTTCATTACACCTTCCCATCTTGCATGCAGTTATTGTCTATTTTATTTCCACTTTGTTTTAACTCTCATTAGTTATCTGTATTATTTTTCACTGTTCATGTTTATTTGGTGTTAGTCATGTCTGTTAGTCTTTTAGTTTACCATTGCTTCTGTAACCCACTCATTCCTTCTTTGATTTAATTTCTTTATTTATTAAGAACCTCCACTATTGGTTATTTCAGCAAGATTCTGTAAGGGATAGAGTTTCCATTTTGGATACTGAAAATGTTCTTGTGTCATTGCTATCATAAGAGACTTTGTTATTAATGAAATTCTAGATTGACACTTATTTTCTCTTGAACCTTTGAGGATATTCCACTATCATCTGTTATTTATTGATGATAAGGTTTCTTTATCTTATTGTCATCCCTTGGAGGTAATCTATTTTTGTTCAAAGTTGTTTTAAGATATTATTTTTATTTTTGATGTTTTGCGATTTCAACACATTAGATGGAGGAATGGGTATTTATCCTTCCTGAGATTTCGATATTGCTTTATCTGAGGACTCTTGCCATTTTTTCAATTCTGAAAATTTCCATTAGCTCTGTAAATATTGCCTCTCTGCCACCTGCTGTGTTTTTCATTCCGAAATTCCCATAGATGTGCATCCTGACTGCTTATTCCATTCCCTGTATTTCGTCTCTATTCTGTTTTTTGACTGATCATTTTTTATGCTGCATTCTAAATATTTTCATCAACTCTATATTTTAATTTGATTCAATAATTCTTTCCTGTGCTATGTCTATTGAATATTTTTAAAATTTTTTTAAAAACTAAGTTTTCATTTTTAGAAGTTCCATCTGGTTCTGTTTCAAATTTGCCTATTTTTTTTAATCAGACTGTCCTGTTTTTTCATAATGGTTTTTATTTCCTCTTTTGTCTCTGATTATTTAAAACAAGGACCAGAAATTTTTTCTCTTGGGGCCAGAGAGTAAATACTGTAGGCTTTGGAGGTCATATGATTTCTGTCACAACTATGCAACTCTGCATTGTAGTGCAAAGGCATACCTAGACAGTTTCTAAACAATTGGTCATGACTGTGTTCCAGTAAGACTTTATTTACCAAAACAGGCATTGGACTGGATATAGCTCATGGGCCATAATTTGCAGACCCTTGATTTAAAGCATAGTCTATTAAAATCACATTCAAGTGGTTCTCTTAGCTCAAGTAACCAAGAGTGGTAACTATTCTGGTTGATGCATCAGCTGACTGTCCCATACATAATCCCTTATGATTGTTTTTTTGTGTGTCATACTTTCAAGTTGTGAACTCTAAATGCAGCCTTCTGTTGGAGGTCAGAGTGCCTTGAGTTGTAGGATTATCCTTCAAAGCATATTGGTATTTCAGACCTTGCAGCTAATATTTTTGTAAAGGATTACTTTTCAAAGTATTACCCTCAAAATACCTTGAATAGGAATCTTCTGAAATAATCCAGCGATTAGTGCTCTTTCTGACATGTGGGGAGCACACAGCTATCAGCCCCCAGTGCTATCATTATCTCTGTTAAAATAACAGCACTGTTATTATTCTTGTCATTGATCCTAGGTCTTATAGAATCTACAAAAACTGTAGTTGTTACCATTTATGCTCTCAAATTCTTTGGAAATTCTGATTAATTGGAGGATCATAATTAAAACACTTCTTTATTAGACCTGGTGCTACTTTGAGTTAGAAAGATAGGTGATGTTGAGTTAAGTATACATTATGAAAATTAAAGACAACTAAGACAAGACAGAAACACAAAGAAGCTTTGGAGATTTCCTTCTAAAATATCATTTTTAAAAGAGATAGTATTAAACGTATTATTGAATATATATATGTTCACTATAAACATATGTATGTATACACATGTGTGTTTTTCCCGGTCTATAGTAAATTCATGCTTCTTGCTTGTTTATTACAGGACACTTGAAATGGACCAAAGCTGAGGACATTGACATAGAAACCCCAGGATCTATTCTTGTCAACACTAACTTGAGGGCATTAATAAACAAACATACGTTTGCTTCCTTACCTCAGCATTTTCAACAATACCTCCTGCTTTTGCTCCCGGAAGTGGATAGGCAGGTAAGTAGAAGTTTTAGACATTTAATATTTGTCACTAGTTATATTATTATGAAGTGGCAGGTCTGTTATTGAAGATGACTGGTATATGGATGGACCATTTATGATAATATAATATATTTGTGTAATTTACATACTTATTGCTAGCATTGGTGTATTTGTTTAATCTGCCAAAACAGAACCATTTTTTATTATCAGTAGTGAGCCAATTCAAATTTTAAAGTACAACACATTGCTGTAGAGTGAAAACAACAGACCTACTCACATTGGAGAGGGAAAACAAAGAAATCAAACATTCCATTACCAAATAAATCTTTGAAGTAGCTGCTCCATTACCCAGAGGGAATATTGGAGTGCAGCAATAAAAAGCCAGAGTTTCTAAGAAATTATGTAAATGTTTTTATTCTCAACTCTTTCCAAAAAGCATTTAAAATTTATGTTTGCAGTTGCCTTCTGAGAGTCTATCATCATGAATATGATTGCCTATAAATAATCACCTTTTATCTTTTTTTTAGTATAACTAGAAATGCTTTAAGTGTATTTTTGTATTTTTGAAAAGCTTCTAAAATAAGGGAATACAAATATAGACCCATAATAGCAGGCATCAATCATCTTCTAAAGCTGTTTCCTTAGAAAAGAAAAGGAAAAAAAGATTTCATCACATAAACTTTTATTAGATTTCACAAAAATTATTAAATGGTGACTAGGAAACATTTCCTTGTGATTCTCATTTCAATAAATTTTCACACTGTATATAGTTTCCAGCTGATGGACATAATGTGTATGTGTTCATGAATTTGCATCTCAAAATGATAGGTACATCCATAAATTGAAATGGGCAAAATTGATTCAATATTTCCATATTACTTTGAATAAATTTTCTTAGCTTTTTATTTGATTCTGTTTTCTACTAACTTACCTTAAAATTTGATGAGCTACAGTTTTCTCCCATTCTGATGTATCTCTTTGGTGTAGATTATTGTTCATATTTAGAAAAATATTATTTTGGGTACAATTTTGTTTGATTTGGAGTTTGCCTTCATCCCACAAAAATTTGTTTAATATTTACTATGAATATGATATGTTTTAGGTGCTTTGGAATAATGGAAAGTCAGTAAGTGCCTATTATATGTTTATTGAATCAATGATTAAATATACTCTAGTTGGATACATGAGCTGTATTTGTGAATAATCAAAATATGAGATAGAGATAGGTAAACTTGGGGGCAAAAGCACAAAGTATATTGAGCTTTCATATGCAGAAGGGAAAAATCAGAGACAAATTTAAGATTCTTGAATTGGGCTTGAGATATAGGCAGAATTTGAATAAAATAAATGGAAATATACCAAGTGAAACGTTCAAAGATACAAAATCGAAAGCTAATTTTGTGGGAGTCTGGATTATAGGAAGAAGAGTGCAAATGAGTCTGGAAGGACAAATTGGAAGTCAATTTTGGAATATTTCTTAAGTATCAGGCTAAAGAGTCTGAACAGTGTTCTCCCTGTGTTTGCAGTGCAAAAGCCATTGAGGGCTTTTGAGCAGAGCTATATAATATAATAAGACTGTTACTTTTTAAGAAAATTATCCTGGCATTACTGAAAGGAGATGTTAGAGATGGGAAGCATGAGAGTGGAAAGAGTTGTTAGAAAGCAATTTTAGTTGTTCCAAAAAAGGCAAAATGAGAGCTTGAATTTGGAGAATAGCATTGAAATTAGAGAAGAAGGATAATGCAATCATCATCATCATCATCATCATCAATCAATCATCATCATCATCATCAATCATCCAGTGGTGGCAATTTTACATTTTGTCAAATAACACTTGAAGCAAGGTATAGGAAGAAGCCACTGATGATTCTTGGGTTTCAAGCTTGTGTGACTGAGAATTGAGTTCAGGCGTTAGGAAAAACTTTATTTTGGGGGGCAAAGGGGAGTTGCTTTCTTAGCTACACAACTATTTCCTCCACTTCAGCATATGTGTGGTTTATCTTGTTTACAATTCTATCTCCTGCTTCTGGAATAAGATTTGGCATATGTATTTTATTCAACCTACATGTAGCAGTTTCTGTTACTGAGTTTTTTCTAGTCATTGTGAGAAATAGAAATGAATAAGTCACAATACCTGTCCTGAAATATTAGTCAAATTAGTCCTCAAAAATTTAGTCCATTTGGAAATTATTTATTCAAGAAAGATTTACTGATCATGTATTATGTACTACATACACTTTTCTAAATACAGAGGATACAAGAATGAATCTTGTGGAGGAAGAACAGAGGAGAAAGACAACCTCATGCTGAAATACAATACACTTTGCTCATTACTGGGAAAGAAGTCTAATAACTAGATAATGTCTACACCAAATTTAGTGTAAGATCAGGCAGAATAAAATAAAGGTCAAACTATAAAGAAAGTCCTCTAAAGGCAAAGAGGATGAAGAACTTTAATCTGAAAGTAGTATTGGAGAAGATTTTGTGGTGGAAAGGATACTCTAGTTGAACCTTGAGGACTATTGGTGTTTTGTAAGTAGAGCCAAGGGAAAGTGAATTTTACAGAGGGAGAGCATGTCATTTACAAAACTTGATGCTTGTGTGTTCCAGAAGATTCCGTAGTTCAATAGGTACACCTTGCAGGGTAAAAGCTGTGGGATACTGTGCTGAAGGGTAATATGGTCTACAACCTCAATGACCTGGTTGTAGACTAAACTCTTTGAACTTTTTCTGAAACCAGTGGGTAACATGAGAGATTTTTTCAAATGAGAAACGGCAAGCATAGAATAATTTAAACAGTTATTTTAGTGCCTGGACATAGGGGAGTGGAAGATGATCCAAAGGATAAATAAAATTCAGTCCTTATTTTCTCTTAGAAGCTGGTAGCCCTGTGAATGATGGATTGGACAGGCAGAAAGATAAGGCCCAGGGCGACTGGGTTAGAGACAATCGCAGTAGTTGAGATATGAGATAAGGGTCTGACCTTGTGCATTGGCCTTGGAAATGAAAAGAAAGGACTGAATTCCTGGCATATTTTCAACCCAGATGAGTAGGAATAAATGACAGATTGCCTGTGGGATGGGGTTGTAAAAGGTCTAGAAGGCAACTGGAGATCTTATCTAGGGTGACTCGGGAAGACAGAAAGCCTCTGTGGGCCTATCAGCATTTGATAACAAAAAATTTAGAGCCCTCTCTGTCTTTCTCTCTGCCCTGCTGGAGGTGAGCTCAACCCTCTCTCCTAGCAGAAAGTCCGGGACAGGCAACTTGATACAACAGCTACCGAAATTGTGCTGCTGTTTCAGTCCAGATGTGAATGAGCACCACCATTTCTGGGCCAGAATGAGTAGAAAAGATATGGAAATGTGAATCTGATTACATAGATTTATTTGAGCCAGTGGAAGATACTATAATTATGTGAAATACCTAAGAGTTTCACTTGTATGAAAGCTTGTCTTCAAATATTTTTACAAAATTTGAAATTCCCAGCTTTCTTGTTTCCTTCCTTTGACTACCCCAGGTTTCTGCCTAATTTCTCCCTGAATCAGCCCTACAAGGCCTCCTACTCTGGGCCATATGAAGCTGAGGTTCATTCTATTATTACATCTTTAAAATATGGAAAGCTAGGTTTCCCATTTACCTTGCCAGTGCCAGTTGTCATTAAGCCAACCTGTCTGGTATTTTGTTTTTCTGTATTTGTACTTTTCTTTGCTTTTTTTTTTTTTGGAAGATTAGCCCTGAGCTAACGTCAATTGCCAATCCTCTTCTTTTTGCTGAGGAATATTGGCCCTGGGCTAACATCCGTACCCATCTTCCTCTACTTTATATGGGATGCTGCCACGGCATGGCTTGGTAAGCGGTGCGTAGGTCCATACCCAGGATCCAAACCTGCGAACCCTGGGCCGCTGAAGCAGAGCGCGTGAACTTAACCACTACGCCACTTGGCCGGCCCCTCTTTTTTTTTTAGAGGTCTGTTTATCTTAGGTTATATTTTTTTTACTTACTCCTAGTTGTTTTATAAAACGTTGTTGCATCTAGTTTTATATTTAATTTTACTCTCCACACATTATATTTCAAGTAACAGAAAATCGAACTCAAACTGACTTAAGTATAAGGGGAATTTATTGGCTCAGGTTATTAGAAGATAGAGGTTAGAGTGGGCTTCTGGTTGTTGGTTTGGGATTTGGTGATTATCAAGGACTCATTTAACTATTATTTTTAATGAATTAATTTAAAAACTCTTCTCTCTTGTTGGCACTGTCCTAAACCTAAATCTCTTTGTGATAGGATAGCTACCTGAATCAAAAAATGGTTGCTTGCCTCTTGATTCACATTCATGGGGAAAATACTTCTCTCTCTGTATTTCAAAGAGAAGACTTACAATTCACACTAATGATACTACTTAGATCACATGACTGATACTGAACCTCTTAATTACCAATTTGTGTGCCTGATGCACAATAAGCCAATCACTGAGACATGCAGCTTGAAGATGGAGAAAGATTTATTAGAATTGGCCAAAATGAGAAAGTGGGAGGATAGGTTCTCTCAAATCTGCCTTAACAAAAGAAGAAAGCAGGTGTCTTTATAGAGCTAAGGGGCTTGGGAGGAGGGGTTTCAGAGAAGCAAAGGAGAAGTCCATGTTTCTTTCACTCCAGATAAGCCCTTGAGCCACCAGACTTCTGGGCATCAGTGGTAGCTGGGGGCTGGTTATCTAGTGGTTGTAACTTCCTTAAAGGCATTCTTTTTCTTCTGCAAAACAAGCTCATAAATCCTTGTGACCCTTGAGTCACCCCTCAGGTTAAACAAGAAAACAGAAAATTAACAAAATTAACTTTTTTTCCTCTGTGTCTGTGTTGGGAACAAGGTCAAAGGGTAATCATATTCTTATTGAATGTTTACAGTAACCCTCAGGTATCTAGCTTCATGACCACTTCTTAAACAATGACTTTAGCCAAGGAAATGGAATATGTAAATTGGTTTAAGGTAACCAGGCCTACTTTTGAACCTTAGAGTAC